GGACGCCCCCCTTCTGGCCGCCCCCGACAGCTTCTATCCTGAGGCCCGATAGCCGATAGCGGGCCCCGGATGCCGCGTGGAGGAAGGAGGTCCAGATTGAAATGACAGCCGAGGGCCCTCGGACCTCGTCCTGGAGGGCCGTCGCGGGGGAGGCCTGCACGGTGGTCTCAGCCAGCTTCGCCGTCACCGTGACGGCGTGACCCAATGCTCCACGCTCTGCCCGCGCGGATCTCTCGTCGGGCGTGCCCCTCGACAGGGGGGAGATTCAGGAGTAGCCAGAGCGTCATACTTGACCAGCCTGGAGCCCTTTGTTGACCATCTTCCCCTTCTCGTCCAACAGAACTGCCTGACGTACACGGACACAATGAATCGTCGATTTCCCAAGCATGTCGGAAAATATGGGCAGTGGGTGGGAAGACAGAAACCCAGAAAATATTGGAACATGTGGGGAATCCTTCTCTTTGCGTGTATTTAGTTTTGTGTGTCCCCGGGCCCCTTCAAACACTGCCTGTGTGTGGGCACGCCCGGCCTGACCGTTGGTCGCCCCCCTGCCGGCGGGGAGGGAGCACCGGCGCGTCGCCTCTGCGCCCGCTCCTCTGCCGCCTCCGCTCTCTTTGCTCCCTTCGCGCGCGGGGCAGTTCCCGAGGCGTGGCGAGCTGAGCCTTCGAGGGGTTCCTCCTCCTCCTCCTCCTCCTCGTCCTCCTCCTCCTCCTCCTCCTCCTCCTCCTCGTCCCCCTCCTCCTCCTCCTCCTCCTCCTCCTTCTCCTCCTCCTCCTCCTTTGGCGACCCCTCCTCTTCCTCCTCGTCGTCCTCCTCCTCCTCCCTCCTCCTCCCTCCTCCTCCTCATCCTCCTTCCTCCCTCCTCCTCCTCCTCCTCCATCATTTCCTCCCCCTTCTCGCCGTCATCTCCTCGGGTCGCCTGCGGCCCGGGGGGGCGAAACCGTCCAGCTGCGTTCTGCGACGATGCAAAAGATCTCCGTTTTAGGCGGAATGGATAAACAAACAAATCACGCTTGGCTGGCGCAGCAGAAAAGGTCAGCCGAAGAGAACAGGCTAAGAGAGTGGGCCCTCAGGCACCGAGTATGCGCCAGCCAGGCGGTGCGAGAGGAGGAATGACCGAGTGAGGCACCGAACGAGGGAGAGGCGAAACTCGCGCGCGCAATCATGCAGGGATCCAGCGTAGCGAGGGACAGCTGCAGGCTGTGTGCTGACTACGGCCTTCGGTTGGCCTTGTAACAGCAGTCGAGCCGGATGTCCCTCGAGACCCAACCATCCCCAAACAATGCATTTTTATGATTTCACCTGAAGAGCCTTCACCTTCAACATTCCGAACTAAAGATAATCAGCACTGCCGAAAGATGTGTGCAGACGAAGTCGGTGCACGGTTGCTCAGTATCGCGTGCATGCAGGAGGAGAGCATTTTGCATGCAATCTGAATCCAAAACGCTACCTCCGCAAGAGATCGCAGAGTGAAAAAGCTGGGCTCAAGGCAAAAAATTGTCTTCAGTCAGTCTCAAGAGCACCCCCCATAGCAGTTACACAAGTACTGCCCGAACAATCACTGCAGCCGATGCTGCTCCCTGACTGCTTGGTCGCGCGTGCGCCATGCTTCGCATGGCCTCGGCCTCCTCCCCCACCCCCTTACGCCTCGTGCCATCAGTTCACGGACCGCCCGCCCCCAAAAGCTGGGCTGGCCGAGCCGGCCTGGCTGGCCTGGCGTGGCGGAGCTCGGCTCCGGCGGTCCGCACGGCCGCGGCGGTCGACGCGCACGCCCTCCTCCAGTCATCGAGCAGAGCGGTCACGCACGCCCTCCTCCAGTCCTCGGGCACGGCCACGCGGTCGACGAGCAGAGCTCCGAGTCATCGGGGGCAGCTCGGGACAGGGCTGCCTCGGGTTAGCTTTACGGGATTCCGAATCGGAGTTGCCCCGGGCCCCGAGCCACCGCGGACAATCCGCGCGTCCAGCGCCCCGAGTCATCAGGGGCAACTCGTGTCAGGGCCAGTGCGGACTCGTTTTCCTTCGGGAGTCCGAGCCCGAGTTCCCCGGACCCGAGTTACCCCGGATAACTCGGGCGCCCAACCCCACCACCTCCGTGACCTTCCACCCCCTCCCCTCATACACCCTCCAGTCCATGACGGGCCCCTCGGCGAGGGAAGTCTCCCAGAGCCAGCTCTCCAACGGAAGCCTGTCCCCCCCCCCAAACCCCCCACCTATCCGTGAAGACTCCTTTTTCCTTGTCCAGGGTGGCGCGGTTCGGAGAATGCCGCGGCAGCCGATGCTCTCGATCGACAGTGCAATGCGGACGGTAAGATCACAGTAACAAAAATGAGGAGAAGAGTGATGGCAAATCCGCTTGCTCCTCTTGGTCCTCCTCTTTGTGTCCATCCTTGCTCCTTATCACGGCTCCCTTCCTGTCGCACCCCAAGACGTGTCTTTGGGGCGGGCCAGGCGTTTCGCCTGAGACCTCCTCGCCGCGTATGACCCTGAAACTTGAATTCTTGGCGGGCGAGTGGTTTCCAAACTTTGGAGGGCGGGTGGTTTTCAAACTTTGGCCTTCGCCTCAGCGCGACGCGAATTCCTGTAAGTCTGGAACAAGTCTGGAACAGCTTCAAGGATGGAGGACGAGTCCATGTCAGAATGTAGCCCTGCTTCAGCGTCACGCACATTCGTCCTATTATCATGCTCCCGTTAGTCTTCCTCCTCCCTGACGTTCCCCCCTCCCCCCCTACCCTTCTCTCCTCCATACATCATCTGCTGTCTACCCCTGTTTTCCAGGTACTCTCTTTGCAGCAAGGACCAGTACACGGCGACGCTGTCGCCTCGTTGTTGCCCGGACCTCATCGCAGGTTGATATCACGCGCCCAGATGGCCGGCAACGCCGGCGCCACCACCTTCCAGCGCTGGTTGTACAAGTCCCGCAGGTCGCCGCGCGAAGCCTTGTCGACGGGATTGTCTGCTGATGCGACCCTCTCCCACCAAGGATACACGCGCCGGGCGCGGCACAGATCCCAGGTGGCGTGGACAATCTCGTTGGTGTAGACGGCCTTGGACGAGCCCTTGATCAACGAGTATTTGGCGGACTCGTTATCGATGAAGTGAAGCCGCGTGCACTCTGTCAGTAAGCCAGGCCACGTCAACAACGCAAAAATGGGGCCGACAGCCTCGATCTCCTGGATTGCAGTGTCCCGGAGCCCCCACTCATGCCACCTGGACAGCCACTCCGGGGGCACAGCAGCGGCCGTGATCTGCGGCTGGAAATCGCAGTATGCCCACAGCCACGTTACCCGTGCCCTCCCCGTCGCTGATGGTGACGAAGAATGGCCACTCGTGCAGGTCGAACGGCACTTCGCGCCCCACCTGCTCCTCGACTGCCTTCTTGAACCACTCCAAGAAGGACGACCGGCGAGACGCCGGGAGCCCCGCCCGACCCTTGCTGTCAAATTGACGCCGTCTCAGCGGCACTAGGGCTGCCGAGCCGTGGCGGCCGAACACAAACGACCGCGCCCGCCCCAGGCGCCCTCTCAAGGACCCGGCCTCGGCTGCGGTCAAGCGCCCTCGCGCCAAGTATCGCTCCAGATCGGACACCAGCGCGTCGGCCCTGTCCCTGGGTAGCCGCGCCACCGGGCGGGGGCAATCGACGGTCATTTCTGTTCCCAGCAGCCTCCAGGCGCCCACTGGCAGCGGGGATTTTTCCATGTCTAATCGGCACCCGATTGTATTGTGCAACCACACCCAGCAGAACCATGTCGAGCGCGCCGTCGACGCTCTCTCAACGCACCACGCGTCGTCAGTGTAGTGATGCATGGGTGCGACGAAAAAGCTGCGCATGATGGCACACATGGCAGCCGGGTCCCTGACGTAGTTGAATTGCGATCCAGCTCCGCCAAACACCTGCCCCAAGTTACGTAGCAGCAACGGCTTCCTCAAGCCAGGATGCCACACGGCAGACCACATGTAGGGGATTTAATCCGGCGAGATGGGGCACTAGCGGAAAGCGCCGCTGTAGTCGGAGGTGAAACCTGCAAGGGGCTCGCTCTGGCCCCACAACTCCTTGCAGAATCGCACCGCTACGCGGGCTGTGTCCAGATCGTCCGGGGCGTAGGACTCCACAGTGTGCACGGCGGCGTTGGCGCCGCTCGCCCGCAGATTCTCTATGTTGCGCACCTTCCACTGGCCCCGAGATCCGCGTTCCCATACAGGGAAGGACGGGTGCACGGCTATTGCTGACAGGTCTACGTCTTGCACCTCAAACGGGCCTTGCACCGCCCAGGTCGCGATCTCTTTCTCTCGCTTCTCCCACTCGCCCCAGTCGAGCTCCTCGTCTCCAGACGACTTCACGGAAGCCACGACCCCGCCGTTTCTGGCTGGCGCGCCCCGGAGCCACTCTTCGAGCGACTCCTCCGCCAGCTTGTCACAAGCTCTCCACAGGTTCGCATGCTGGATACGACCGATGGCTTGTCGACCACTGCACAACGACGAGAAATACGTCCCATCGTCATCTCTAGCAGCTTGCGGAGCAACGGGCCGTGGACATGGCCAATGACAGTGCGGACGTCAGGGTGAAGCGACGCTGCCCACTGCTCCCGCTCTCCCTGCAGATCACGTGCCCAGGAGGCGATCTGCGCGCAGGATTGCGTGCGCATCTTCGTCACACTAGCTTCGTCGGCCGGCTGCCGGCGGCACGCCTCCTCCACTGCGGGGTGCACGACCGGCGCCGAACGCATGGGGTGCTCCACGGATTCCACGCAACGCAGGACACCCGCGGGCCCAAGGCCTTCTGGGATCAACAGCAAGGCCCCCCACGCCCTCGGTTGCAGGCCCCCCGCAGCAACTCGCGCCTCTCGCCGCGGCGCCCCTGCCCGGCAGCCCGCCGAACCTGCCGACGCTTGCGAGGGGGTTTGAGGCGTTGCTTTCAAACGCTTCGCTGGCGGCTGCGAAACTTCGTCACTCGAATCGCTCCTGCCCGTCGCCCAGGCCGGCGCGTTCGCCCCTGCAGGGGCTCACGCCGCCTCGTGGCGGTCGCACGCGGCGCGCTCGCCGCCGCAGCCCTTCACGTTGCAGGCGTGCTTGAACCTGCACCTCTTGCCGTAGGTGCACGTGCCTGCGTTGTAGAACTTGCGCAGTTCCTTCCCGTGCAGGTGGGTGACGCGCTGGAGGGCGCCGCGCGCCTTCTTGGCCGCGGGCTCCTGTGGCCTGCCGGAGTCGCCCTCTGCGCGGTCGCTGTGGAGCTCCGCGAACAACGACACCCTTTCTGTCCGGCAGGACAGTACTGCCTGCGCCAGCGTTTCGGAGTCATTGCGGATTGCCTCCGCCCACCTGGAACGCATGCTGTGGCCTGCGCGCACCACGGCCTCCACGGGCGGGACCCCGCCCTTCTTGCGCTCGAACAGCCTCAGGACGACCCACTCGTGGTAGTCCAAGAGCACGGACCAGTCTGCCGCCGCCCACTCCGGGGCCGCGGCAAGAGCGAGGGTGTTCATAAGCACGCGGTGCTTGTGGATGGACGCGTGCGCCGTGAACGTGCTCACGTCGTCCGCGCCCACCGCGGTGCGGTGCCTTTGAGGCCGCCGGAAGCACCGAACTCGATGCTGACGCCCACCGTCTTCTCCGCCCCGGGCTCGCTGTTGAGGGCCCGGATCTTGTGGAGGTCGTGCGCCGTCGGCGTCTTGCGCTCGTGTTCGCGCACGAGGCGCTCTGCCAACGCGTCCGAGCCGATCAGGTGCGAAGGGAGCTTGATTTGGTAGTACTGCACGAAGCTCCTGGTTTTCTTGGTCCGCACCTCGGGGTCGATTGGATCATCCCAGTCGCCTCCTATGCCCTTCCTGATGATTTCCAGCTCGCTCGCCACGAGGGCCTCCGCCTCTTGCCACGCAGCCTTAACCGGCTGACACAGCGGGCGGTCCGCGGGATCCAGGCCTGAAGGGGTGCACACGCCTTCCCCTACATCCGTCTTCGAGTCCGCGAGGCCAGCGAACTGCATCACGCTCACCATGCTGTTGGCTTTGAGGTAGGATACCACCTTTTCGTCTACGCCATGCTTCTGGAGGAGCTGCGCAAGTCTCGGCTGAAGCTCGGACATGCTTGCTTCACGGGCGGGCGGGTCGGGTTTTTGGGCTTGCTCGCGCCGCAAGGTCGCGCTGTTCGAGCCAGGATGGCTCCAGACAGCTTGCAATGCACAGAAGGCGACGCCGGCCACACGAATCTTGCGCATCACGCGCCTGACATACACAAAGGAAACATACGCTATCAAGCGGCCATCCGTGTAGCTGTTGGGAAACGCGACAGCCGGTCACCGCTACGGCGTGCCACATTGCAGCGCAAGCACAACACACGCACTGGAGCCCAACCCCACTTTGTGGGACAAGCAATGACACCCACAAGGGAAACATACGCAATCAAGCGGCCATCTGTGTAGCTGTTGGGAAACGCGACAACCGGTCACCGCTACGGCGTGCCACACTGCAACGCTAGCGCAACACACGCACAGGAGCCCAGCCCCACTTTGTGGGACAATCTATGTCTCAGCCGGCAGGGGGTTCCCACAGCTTGCGTCGATGTCTGTATTAGACATGTAGCCTCGACAAGAAGGGGAGGAGGGAGCTCTCGGGGAGAGTTCACAGAGTACGCGTGCTGAACTCTGCACATGCTCACGAACGGGCAGATGATAAGTGTGGATGCCACCGGCCCTGCACACCATGAGCCTCCCAACAAAAATGTCACAACAGCTTCAAGGATGCATGGTGGCTCCTTTCAACATGTAGCCCTCGCTTACGCTCCGCGCGCATTAGTTTTAAAGTGTGCAACAGTTTCAAAAATTCGTTGGGTTGAAGTTCCAGGAATTGTGTTCTGGTACAGCTTGGAATTGCTCGCAACAGCCACGTTGGTTCGCGTTGTTGAAGTCCCAGAAATGGTGCCCAGAGTCAATTCGATCTTATCATGTCGCAACGGTCACATTGATTCGTGGCTCGATTGAGGACTATCAGGCGGCTGTCTGGCAGTGAGGCACTTCCCCTTCTGGACGTAAATGCTCGTAGGACCTACGACGATGGAACTTGGAGGGAGTTCATTGCAACATCGTTGATGCGTACTGGGTTTTCACGGGTCATCCTCCTCCTCGGTCACCGTTCTGTTGGAGTAGGGCAAAAAAAGGTTTCCATCTCCGAGCCTCTCGGAACCACGGCCCCTCCCGCCGTGTTCTTGGTGTGGCCGCACTCCGAGTACAGTCGGGGCCCTGAAGAAGGAACCCTTTTGGTTGGGGAGGGGCCCCGCGTTCCTTAAGTGTTTCACAGTTTGCCTCAGGTTTTCCTTATGTTTTCGAAGGGGAATCGAAGTTTAACTTATGGAAAACAGGGGCCGCATTCCTCATTTAGGGTTCCTTAGGTCAACGCCCCGAATGTATTTCAACGCGACCGCGCGTCTCTCCTGTCCTCTTCCACAGCAGGCGGTCATCTGCGCCACAGTTGGCGCGCCGAAGCAGAAGCTTGCCTGCCACCGGGCTCCCCACGGACATGTTCTTGCCATCCGACGGCCCGACGGACCTGCAGAATCTTTGGGGCACCTTCATTCGGGGACCCTCAGAGATCGATGAAGGCTGTGTCTCCAGACTTCGCATCGCAACACATCTTTTCGCTCGTGCCTCCTGCGCCCCCTTCCCTGGCAAAGGGCCCTCTTGGGCCCCTCCCTCCTCCTCCCCCTCCTCCTCGTCATCCTCCTCCTCCTCCTCGCCCTCCTCCTTCTCCTCCTCCTGCTCCTCGTTCCCTGCTCCTCGTTCCCTGCTCCTGGTCGGGACCCGGAGGGTCACGTGGGGGTTCGGGGTCCTGACGGGGGTCTGCGTTCTAGAGGAAAGCGCGAGAAGCGGAATGAGTGAGCGAACGAAGAAGATGAAGCGACCGCGCAGAAAGTCGAGGGTATGTCTTTCCTCCTCCCTCAGGGAAGAGGAGGATGGGGAGGTTCCTTCCCTTTCCTCTCGCTCACAAGGATGAGGTGCAGGCGCCGTGCATTTTTCCTTCGGGAAGGTGGAAGAGGTGGCTCCGCCCCTTCTCGGGCCCTCAGGAAAGAGGGGGAGGAGGAAGAGGAAGAGGAGGAGGTGGAGGTGCGTCTTTCGGGAGGGGAAAAACACACACAGACACAATCAATCGTCGATTCCCCAGAAAATGTCGGAACATATCGGAACTGGGGGGAGACAATCACCCAGAAAATATTGGGAATTATGGGGGGTCTTTTTATTTGTGTGTATTTATTTGTGTGTCCCAGGGCCCCTTCAGTCTTCTCTTGCCTTTTGTTCAGGAGGAGGCTCAGAAAGAGGAGAAAAAGGCTTCCTCCCCTTCAGTCTTCCTCGGGAGGGAAAGGAGGAGGTGGAAACACAACTACGTTCTCCCTCCTTTCCCGCGGGAGGGAGGACGTGCGGGATCCTTCCTCCCCTTGCCCCCCGATTTGGAAGAGGAGTAGGGGGAGGTGGTTCCGCTCCTTGCCGTGCCCTCAGGCAGGAAGAGGAGGTACCGTTTCCTTTTTATCGAGGGATAGGGAGGGATAGTAGCCTCCCCATCACCACCTCCGTCTCCTTCCTGAGGGCCCAGGGAGGGGAGGAACCCACGCCTCCTGCTTCCAGAGGGAAGGCAACTCCTCATCTTCCTCTTTCCCGAGGGAGAGAGCCATGCAAGAACCTCCCCATCCTTCCTGAAGCGAGGGAGGGAACGCAAACCCAACCTCCTGCCCTCCAACCTGGGGGCGAGGGCAGGGGAGGGACATTATTTTCCTTTCTGAAAGACGGGATGGGATGGAACCTCCTCGCCACTTCCTCCTTCCTAGGGGAAATGGAAGGGAGGAGCCTCCGCCGCCTCCATCCTGAATCACAGGGAAGGGGAGGGAAGGAGCCTTATCATCCTCGCCGTCCCTCCTAAGGAAGAGTGCAGAGAAGCAACCTCCTCTTTTCTTGAGGGGAGGGCAGCAACGTCATCTCCCCCTCCCCCCCCTCCCCCTCAGCCTCCGCCTGCCTGAGGGAAAGGGAGTTGATGGAACCTCCCCTTCTTTCCTGAGAGCACGACGAGGAGCGGAACCACCTCCGCCCCCCCCCTTCCTGTCTGGGGTGGCAAGGGAGGGAAGAATCCTCCACGCCGTCCCTGCTGCGGGAAATGAGAGAAAAGATATCCGTCAGTCCTCCTCATTTCCTTTTTGAAGAAGACCAAAGGGAAATAACCACCTCCGCCTTCCTGTTGGCAAGGGAAATAACGGACACCCCTTCTCCTCCTCCTGCGCCGCCTCCTGCCCGAGTAAGAGGGAAACGAAGAAGCCTCTCCCCCCTCCTCCTCCTCCTCCTCCTCCTCCTCCTTCTCCTTCTCCTCCTCCTCCTCCTCCTCCTCTTCCTCCTTCGACGGCGCGAAAGGGGGCAGAACCACCTCTTCCATCTTCCTGAAGGACAAGAGAATACGGAGAACCTCCATCTCTCCCTTGCGCGCGAAAGGAAAGGGAAGGAAAGGGGGCGATGAAAGGGGGGGAGGACGAGAAGGAGCAGGGTGAGAACGGGGTGATGACGGGTATGGCAGCGAAGACGCCGTCGATGACGATTCTGATGACATGCGTCAACTTGAAGACATTATCGACAACAATGGTGATGGCGAGCACCTTTTTCAATATGCTGCCGATGACAACAATGGCGGTGGCGAGACTGCGTTTCAAGACAGCGCCGATGTCTATGGCGATGATGAGCGTGGTAGTCGGGCTAGTCGGGATGCTGTCGGTGACGATGTTGATGACACGCGTCAGCCTGAAGATACTATCGATAATAATGGTGATGGCGCGTGTTACTCTCAAGATACGGTCGATTCCAGTGGTGGTGACGATAATGTGTTTCAAGACACCGCCGATGACGATGGTGATGACGAGCGTGGTAGTCAGGATGCTGTCGATGACGATGCTGGTGACACGAATCAACCTGAGGATATTATCGATGACGATGGTGACCCAAGAGGACCTCACGAGGCTCCCAATGCAGCCTCAGGATTTTCACAAATGGCCAAGAAGGGCTCCAATCCTACGCCGGCCCAACAGAATCGCAAAACGACCGCGACCTCTGAACGAGGAGCCTTCGCCATTCTCCTCCTCCTCATCATCAACTCCTCCTCGGGGGGTGAAGGAGGAGGAGGAGGAGGAGGAGGAGGGGGAGGAGGAGATGGAGGTGGAGGTGGAAGCGCTCCCGAAGGCTCCTGGCGCCGAGGGGCCCCCGGTGCAGCGAGTTTCCTCTGGCGGCTGGGCCCTGGGGGCAACGACCTGGAGACAAAAAACACGCCCCCCCCTGGCCCAGGTGCCCCTTTTTTTCCTCCTCTCCCTACAGGCCCGCCCGAAACACAAACCAGGAGGGTCGGATTTGAGAGGCCGGATTGTTTTTGTCCTGGGATCATTCTCGCAGGGTCGGGATTCTGCGGACGCTCGCGAGTCTGAACATCCACCAGACTCTTTTGCGTCTGAAGGCCGACAACGCACAGCAGGAGAGCAATGGACGACAACGGCAAATATGACAACGATGACAGCGAAGTAATCGACGACGACGGCGACAGAGATGACGACAACGAAAACAACGACAACGACGACAACGACGACGCAGCATCCCGATGAAAAACGAAATCTTCAAAACGCAGGCCCCTGTTAGGACCCCGAAGCCCAGGGGCCCACATCGCATTCCTGCGCCCCAGGGGCGACGTGCAGCCGCCTTCTGCGGGCCCGCCTCCTCGGGCCTCTGTCGACAGCTCGGCGCCGTCGATGCCGTTTCGCCTCCGACGACGACGACGACGACGACGTCGACGACGACGACGACGACTACGGGCGACGGGCGACGGACGACGGACGACGGACGACAACGAAGACAACGACGACGACGACGATGACGACGGTCGACGACGACAACGAAGACAACGACGACGACGACGACGACGACGACGACGACGACGACGACGACGACGACGACGACGGTTTACTATGTTTTGAGCCCTGGGGCCCTGGACCTCTGGACCCCCTTCCGTAGGACGTGCCATTTGTCCCCAGTCGTTGTCTGGCAGCCCCTTCTCGGAGAGCCTCCCCCCCCCC